CTGCCTGCCTGCCTGACTCACTCTCTCACTTACTCACTAACTTCATAAACATGATTGGAACGCATTACACGAAAAGATTCAAACACTGAACAGAAATCTAGTGGCATTACAAATCGCTCCTAGATTGTTTATTCAATAAATCTGACACAAACAATCTCATGTACAATATACACATATTATGACACTGCTGCCTTTAAGAACATCCGTAAATAGAAAGCAAATAGGAAAGTTGTTCCTGGAAGGGATGTTTGTCATACAGTCGTGGCGGATCTAAAGGCCCCCCCCCCTTCGTGCCACTAACTAACGTTATGATACCAGTAAAATTGGGCCAAAAATAAAAAAGTAAATCTGCAGGCTGATAGAAACTGGGGATTTCCCCTGTGACCACACAGCTGCCTGAATCTTCCAGGTGGGAGACCAGGAGGGGGCATGCCCCCGGACCACCCTAGCACCGCGTGCCTTCCCTCAAATATCAACCCTCCCCCATCTCCTGAAAGCTAGATCCGCCCCTGTACAGGTATGTTCTTGGCATAAACTAAAACGTAACTCAAAGCACAGCTTCAGATGTCCATCAGTAGATATAACGGTCTTGTGTGTTATAACTCCTTTATATTTCTGATTCATAATGGCGTTGTACAGTAAGCATGCTGGCATTCATATCGTGCATGACTTCTGCATGAACTACATTGATGAACTACCTTAACATTGTACAATTACATGTATGTATGTACATTATATGTGTTTACACGTAAGAAAACCGTACGTTAAATGTAAGCGTGTAGCGCACGCGTGCATGTGTGTGCATGTGTATGTGTGCGCGCGCGCGTGTATGTGCGTGCGTGCGTGCGTGCGTGCCTGCGCGCGTGTGTGTGTGTGTGAGTGGACAGCGGTCAGTCGCGCCGCAGAAGCGAGCCGAGAGCGATGGACGACAGCGGCCACTCCGTTATCATCTGCATGACGCTCTCCACATCCCTACTATCCAGCATGCTCCCGCTGAGATAACAGCTCGAGCCCGCCGACGTCTGATACCGGTGATCGACCTTGCGAAATCGCTCCAGCACGTAGTCGCGCACCGACAGTTTCGGCGCGGCGCCCCCTGGCGGGTGGCGGTACCCGGCGAAGAATTGCGCGGCGACGGCGCCGTCGGACGCCAGTTGCGCGTCGAGGAGGTCCGTCTTGTTGAGGACGAGGAAGAGTTTTGCGGACTGAAGCCAGCGCGTGTACGAGATGTCTTGGAAGAAGGCGAGGGTCTCGTCGAGGCGCGTCGCATACTGCGTCGCCAGGGGGCGCCGCGCGAACGAGCTCGCGTCGGCGACGAACACGACGGCGCACACGCTGTCGAAGCAGTGCATGTACTTGCGCCAGTTCGTCGTCGTCTGGTTGCCGACGACGACGAGGCGCAGCCGGAGCCCGCGCGCGACGAACGAGAACTCGCGCAGGGTGGTGCCGCCGCCGGTCGTCTCTCGTCCCGCGCGCATCACGTCCGCCGCCGTCGGCACGTAGTCGCCGCCCGCCGCCGCGACGCGCTCCATCGCCCGCCACGCGTACGCCTCGCGCGCGCCCAGCCCCGCGCCGTCGCCGCGCCGCGCCTCCGCCGGCAGCGCCCCCCAGAGATTGCCGAGACTCGCGAGAAGTCGCTGCTCCGGCTCGAAGCGCGCGTCCGCGTAGCCCTGCAGGTGGCGCCGGCGGCACGTCGCGAGAAGGTCGTCCAATCCGACGAGGTTGGCGGCGTCGAGCTGCGGGCCGGCGACTTTTCGCAGCGCGCTGTGGATGAGCGTGGCGAACGGGAAGAGGTATTCCCGCGCGAGCTCCGGGCGCTGCCGGTAACCGTAGAGAAGCTTCACCTGCTTCAGGAACGTGTCCTTGCCTGCGTCAGGGAGGCCCAGCACGAGGATGTCCCACTGCAATGATGCGGAGAAAAGGAGAGAGAGAGACAGTGGAAGGCTGTATGTAGATTATACGTCCTTAGAATCTCAGAATGATGTGTAAACTTAAGATGCACATATGCATGATTGTATATAATATCACTTATAATTACTCACTTAAACAAATGGTTATAATTTGCAATACATGACTAATAATACTACTATAATAATACTATAATAATAATACTATAATAATACTACTATAATAATACTATAATAAGACTACTATAATAATAATACTATAATAATACTACTCCTTGATCCTTCATCTAAGCTCTTCTGAGCCGTAGTGTTCTCTTTGTATGGTAGGCACTTACTATTGTATAGTTGTCTCTAGTAACACTCTAATAGGTTAAAAACAGAGTGTTACTAGAGTCAACTATACAATATTAAGTGTCTACCATACAAAGAGTTAGTTACCATACAAATACTAGTTAAAAAAATAATAAATAAATAAATAAATAAATAAATAAATAAATATATATATATATATATATTAACAGCACTCAGTCCACGTGAAAAGCACAGGAAGGAGATCAGTTTTGGTTTCCGTTGGGGATATAAGGAAGGGATGTAGGGGCCTAGCTGTACATGTAGGTGGGTGCAAGTATAAACAGAATTATAAATACAGCTATGATTAAGCTAAGGCCATTACGATAAGCTCTATCGAATAGTAGTTTACATATCAGTTTGAATCATCTATGTATCTATTCACCTCCCACCCATCTTATCCATCCACCCATCCATTTCTCAGTCAGTCCATCCATCTGTCCGTCCATCTATCCATCTATTTACCACTATATTCAGCCATGAATTCAGTCACCCACCATCACACCAACATAGAACAGGTTTCACATTTCACACCTTACACAGTGAACCACTTGTCAACTTGAATACGTCAACGACTATAATCTAAACTGACGATTCATCTAAATATTTTCATCGACAGATTTTGCCCTTATCTAATGAATCACCTAACTATTAATTAACTGTTTTAATTACTAATCAGTAAACTCACTTAAAGTGACGCAAAACGTGGATCGCTTACCGTTCGATGTGTGGGCGAAATCTTCCCAGTTGGCGATTTCTTTGCATCCATGCTCAAATCGAAATCACTCCGATCGAGTATCGAAAACCATGCAGGGGGGGCGATCGGTGATTTACAAACCACGTGGTGCCTGCATGCCAACCCCGTCTGCCTTCCAGACAACGTACGTACGTGGTGTCGAATTAAGGAGGAGGAGGAGGAGGAGGAGACGGTAATGGTTGGGGAGACTTGCCACCAGCGATGGTGACAGTGCCTGGCATGTGTAGCTACGCGTGACTGCTGTGGGCAGTGGGAGCGCGAGTGAAGTTGGATGCGTGGGTGGAAGACGCAGGAAACAGGACGCGTACCGTCCTCGTACTGCCAACAGGATGCCCGGTTGGCATGGTTACGCGCGTGGGCGACAGCGCGTGTGTGCGGGTTAGCACAGGTGCATGGTGATATTAAAGGGGGCATACAACAGTATAAGCCTCCTCACATTGCTCACCTATTTGGGATCTCTGCGTGAAAAAGCCAATTTTTTATTTTTTTGCGGTGAAATTAGACTGCACTAATTCGCATTATGCACGCAAGTTATAGATGCCTCGTGGACGTCTAGAAAGCGGTAAAAGTAAGATGGGTCTTGTCGTGTAGTTGTGCCATAGCAGCAAGTGACGTAGCCATGGTGACTGGTCGGCCATTTTTGTGTATGAAACGGGATCCGACTACTCTGTAGAAATAGTATACGCGTCATAGAGCTGGCTAAAGTTTCGATCGGAATATAGAGCTTGAATATGTGGTTATTTAACATGAATAAAGTGTATGTTGTGTATGCGTCGAAACACTGTGAGTATTTTTAACTAATTTCTGTTCGATGCTTATTCAGGCCTGCTGCCTATCAGGCTATGGACGCCTAATTCTAATGTTGTACAACACCTATGTGCATCGACTCTCTGGCAGACAGGTGCTGCCATCTCGTGTAAAATTGTGTAACCTCGTGTCGTATAGTTACCCAACGATTTCGTGGCCGTTGGCCATGAATCGTCACATGTATCTGTTGCATGGTTTATCGTCAGACCAGAGAATTGAAGAGTTACGGGACCCTGGGGGCGGCCCATTACCATACATTACCGTACAACATCATGAAAACAAGAGAGAGAGAAGAATTCACAAGAGCATGGTACAATACTACTAATTGTACTACTACCGTACAATAAAAGTAGAAATAAAAGAGAGAGAGAGAGAGCGACAGAGAGAAGAACTTACGAGTATCCAGGCCCACGACGCCTGTTCGTCCCGCTCCACTAGCACGGTGCCCAGCTCAAGGAAATGTAGATTTCCGATAGAGACCTGTGCCAGAATGAACAGTGTAGTTATATATAGATGCAATACAGCTTATACGAGTCTCAATACAACTTCTGTATTGCAATACA